TTTTATTGTAGAGATGAAGTCTCGCCAAGTTGCCCAGGTGGGTCTCAAACCTGCGGGCTCAGGCAATCCACTCACCTCATCCTCCCAAAGGCACGGGATTACAGGCTGAGCCACCGAGCCTGACTTGTTCTCCTTTTTCAAAAGTTCTATTGACTATTCTGTTTCTTTGCCTTTCCTCATAAGATTTAAAAATCAGCTAGCCTGGGCAACATAGTGAGACCTTATCGCTACAAAAAATCAAAAAGTTAGCCAAGTGTGGTGTCACATGCCTGGAATCTCAGCTCTTCAGGAGGCTGAGGCAGAAGGATTGCCTAAGCTGAGGAGATCGAGACTATGGTGAACCGTGATCATGCCACTATACTCCAGCCTGGGTGACAGAGTGAGATGCCAACTCAATAAAAAAAATTTCTTTTAATCTGCTTATTTATATCTGCAAAAAAAAAGCTTTACAGGGATTTTATTGGAATGATGTTATCTGTAGGCCAGTTTGGGGAGAGTTGGCATACAGCCTGCAAATGGCATGTCTTTTCATTTGTTTACATTTAAAAAATTTTTTCATCAGTGCTTGGGAGCTTCAGTAATACAGATCCTATATTTGTTTTATTAGCTTTAGGAGTTGTCTTTTTGAGCTATTATAAATTAAAGTTTTTAAAAATGAAATTGACTTTTAATTGTTCATTTATATTATATTGAAATATGATTGCTTTTTTTGTTTTGTTTTGTTTTGAGTTAGAGTCTCATTCTGTCACCCAGACTGAAGGGGAGTGGCACACTGATGGCCACCGCAGCCTCAACTTGCTGGGCTCAGGCGATCCTTCCACCTCCGCCTCCAGGTAGCCGGAACTACGGATACATGCCATCACACCTGGCTAATTTTTTTATTTATTGTAGAGATGAGGTCTCGCCAAGTTGCAGGCTGGTCACGAACCTGTGAGCTCAGCAGTTCTCTCACCTCAGCCTCCCAGAGTGCTGGGATTATGGGTGTGAGCCACCACATCCAGCCTTGATTGCTGTTTATTAGGCTTGTCTGTTGTATGATCTTGCCCAGCTTATCAGTTCTAGGTGCTTGTTTTCACATTTTCCTACATTCCTTGGGATTTTTTAATGTAAATAATCATGTTATCTTCCAATGACAATAGTTTCACTTTTTGTTTTCTTATCCTTGTGCCTTTTATTTCCTTTTCTTACCTTATTGCACTGGCTAGGACTTGAGTGACATTGGCAAGAATATGTATCTTTGCTTTCTTCCCACTCTGAGGGGAAGGTCTTCAATGTCTTCTTGTTTTTCAGGATGGTATTAACCTTAGGTTTTTTGTAGTGTGCTTTATCAGGCTGAAGGAGTTCCTGTCTTTTCCTAGTTTACTGATAGTTTTTATCATGAATAGATGTTGAATTTTGTCAAAATTTTTTTGAATTGATTGAGGTGATAATATATTTTTTTTCTTATTTAGCTTGTTGGTATGGTGAATTACATTGACTTTCAAATGTTGAACCAGCTTTGCATTCCTGGAAGAAACCCCCACTTGGTCATGGTATGTTATTCATTATTATTTGTGTATTTTGCTAGATTCAGTTTGATAATATTTTATTCAATATTTTTACATCTATGACCATGAGGGATACTGGTCTGTATTTTTCTTTTTTGTATTTTTTTGTCTAATGTTGGTACCAGGGTCAATGCTAGTCTCATAGAGTGACTTGGAAAGTAATCCATCCTCTTCTGTTTTTTGTAAGATATTGTGTCATATTGGTATTATTTCTTTTTAAAAATATTTGGTTGAATTTGTTTGGAGTTTTTTAAAAGATTTTAAACTATTAATTTATTTAATAAGCATAGCATTATTCTAGTTACCTATTTCGTCTTGGTGAATTTTGGTAGTTTGTGGCTTTCAGGGAATTAGTACATTTTATCCAAGTTGTCAAATTTATGTGCGTTGAGTTGCTTATAATATTTTCTAATAGTGTGTGAGGTCTGTAGTTTTTTCCCTCTTTTACTCCTGTTAAAGACAATTTTGTCTTTCTTTGTTTGGGTAGAGGTTTTTTTTAATTTTATTCATCTTCCCAAAAAACTAGCATTTGGTTTTATATTTTCCTTCCTTCCTTCTTTCCTTTCCTTTTTTTCTCTCTTTCTCTCTCTCCCTCTCTCCTCTCCTCCTCCTCCTTCTTCTTTCTCTCCACCCCCTCTTCTTCCCCCACCCCTCCCCTCCCCCACTTC